CATTGTGGATGATCCGCTCCGTTGAACTTGATCTACATATTCTAAAACCCCAACACACCAAATTTGGGGTGAACCCGTCGTGGTTTGACCCTCCGTCGAGCCATGTAAAAAGTTCTATTCATTCGAAACCGTTAAAATTGATACGAGTGGATGAAGGGCCAAACCATGACGGGTTCAGCCCAAATTTAGTGTGTTGGGGTTTTAGAATATGTAGATCAAGTTCAACGGAGCGGATCATCCACAATGTAATATATATATCATACACTTCACATCCACTTTTGAAACTCGCTGGACATAGGTCAGGTTCTGAACTATGAATTATAATTTTAAAGGGTCGTTTAGATGTTTAGTACGAAAACCAATGATTTCCAATATATAATCCACATAATAAAAAAACATAAAAATGTTATAGGAAATATAATTCTCATCCTCGTTCTCATGTAAATTATTAATTCCAATATATAAGATGTGTATATAAATATTTATATAGCTGTGTTCCTGTACCTAACCTTTTACAAATTTACCATGCTCCTTACTTGTACCCATGCAACATAGGGTGCCATTCAAGCATTTCTTTCCTTGCAATTTTTATCTTTTAAATGAATGTTAAATACTTAAAATTAGAATCACATAAAATCTAAATTAGAAGAGAAAGGAATTACTTAGTTAGGAGAGCAAGATCAATTTGCTTTTAGTTTTGTTGTTCTTATCAGGATGGCCTAACTATATCAGGGAAAAGAATAGAAGAAGCATCTAACTCTTTCATACATACTCCACTTGGTTTAGGGAGACATAGCTCAGTTGGTAGAGCTCCGCTCTTGCAATTGGGTTGTTGTGATTATGGGTTGGATGTCTAATTGTTTAGGCTATAGTATCTTGTACCTGAACCAATATCTCACTTTTTCTAAGTAATGCGGAAGAGGATTGAAACATGAAACTCTACTGAGTAAGCTCAGGGGGAGAAGAGAAAACAATGTGGCTGTGGCACTAGCCTTATGTAGAGGCAGGGATACTAGTAGCCTCAGGTGAAGGCAAGAAGAGGAAGAGAAGCAAGGGGGTTGAGAGTGTACTAGAGGAATAAAATTTTAATAAAAAACTAAATCAAACACAAGTTATTTCTTACGGCTTCTAGGACATTATTTTAAATGGAGAGAGGGTGTAAAATCTCTAGCTCATAATGAGGCGTCGAGATTAATTTATTTAAATAGCCTACTTGTGCTTCCGCCTAGGAATATGCCTACTCCTCTCATTAAAACACCAATTCCATGTTTGGTGTAATAGACTTTAGATTTATTATGTAGCATTTCCTAGACTATTGTTACCGGCGGTGGATCCAAAAGACTATTCTTAGGAGACTGGACAACACACAAAAAAATATTTATTTACCTAACAGTAAAAATAATAAATTATAAAACTATAGTGTGGTCCGTGCGACAACGGGAAAAGCCACTGTGACGAGAGGAAGCAGAAGCGACGCTACTCGATAGAAGTCCTTGGGTTTGGTCCTTTTGGGATCGGAGGATCTAGAGAGAGAATATAGAGTTTTGATAATGGGTTTGTGGATTTTGCATTTATTTGGACTATTGGATATTTATTTTTAATGTTTGGGCTTATAGTATTTAGACCTTATAGGTTTTAAATGTGTTAAATCTAAGTTGATGTTGCATTATGTGGGCTTGGGTGCAAAATTGTTTAAATTTGAGAGGGCTAGATTTTAATTTGCAAGGGTCTAAAAGATAAATATCAGAATTTTAAGGGTGCGAATGCCCCCTTATAGCTTCACATGGATCCGCCATTAGTTGTCATATGTATTATGCTAGCTTTAATGTATGTAATACTATTAGTTCCTTCTTATGGCGATGTTACATCTATATATGTCAACCATTGCCAGAAAGTTTATTGCTGTTGGTATGGTTTTGACTAACCATAATTTATAGAGCATACTAGATTCAGTTCCTTATTCTCTCCATTTTTGGACAGGGAATTATTCTGTTTAAGTGATCTTTGGATAAGCTGCATTTTGTTTGTGTGTTTGTTCTTTTTTCCCCTTCCAAAAACTCTACTGCATGGGTTACCAATGCTATCTAGAGAAGAGTTTCAAGGCTATTTTGCTTTAGGGTTTTGTGGCAACAATTTGGAGAGAAAGCGGGGAAGAAGGATAAGGAAGAAACCCCATACGTCTTTTGAGATTCCATGCCTTAAAAAATTAGGTTGTTATAGACTGCACCAAATTCCAAGCACGAAGGAAAGCTATACTATTTTTTTTTTAAATCAGAATTATCATTAGCATCTCCAGCTTTTTTCTTTTCTGAAGAATGAAGACCAATTCCTTTGCTCTCATGCATGCAAAGATCTTACTCTTGTTAGCAACTAAAACTAGGTTGCGAGAATTTGAGATACAAAACCTTTTATTTTCAGCTAATCAAGGGGTCGTCACCCTGTGTTTCATTAAAAATTAATTACGGAACAACCCAAGATATTTCTAGTAGTAAAATATAAAAGGGGTATCCATCGCTAAATTTAGAATCACAAATGCCAATGTGTAGTTTAAGTGAAATGAATTGGAGCTCAAGGATCAACAAGTACACCAAGAGAGTAAGTTTGAGACAATTTTTGACTTGGACTAAATCATGATGGAACATGAACCTAGCGCTCTCTTGCCCTAATGAGAAATGAAGTGTATTCTCATTGTCGAGGGAGTGAATTTGAGACAACTTTTGGCTTGGACTCTTAATACCGAACTTAAATCATGATGGAACATGAACTTAGTATTCGCTTGGACTGTTGCTATTGAACCAGTTAGCTATTGTAGCCTCAGGCTGAAAACATAGAGAGATGTCGATCCATTTAATCAAAACTATAATTGCGAACAATCTCAACTTCGAGTTGAGCAAAAAGGAAAAAAATAAAGAAGAAAAGAAAAGAAAAGAAGAACGAAGTTGAGCAAAAAGGAAAAGAATAAAGAAGAAAAGAAAAGAAGAAGAAGAAGAACTAAAGTCATTGTCCAATCATGACTCTGCTGCCAGCAAATTGGTGAAGGTTGTGTTCGCACTGAACTACACTCGCTTAAGTGCTTATATACACCTTGATTAAAACTTTGCTCAAACTTCGGAGTGCAGATTCAAAGACCTATTCCTTCATTAAGCATTTATTTGTTACTTTGGGTTACTTGCATTGCTCTTAATAACGTGCAAAATGATGAATAAATACTTGATAATGTGTAAAACAATAAATAAATACTTGCAAATATTTATATATTTTCTTCTTGTCAACCTATACTATCCTGAACTTGTCACTGATGCACAGTACACCTTAGACATTATTGCTTGCTTCCACCGCCATTTATTGCTACGATGTTCAACCTTGACATTGTCTTTTAGTCGCTTTGTTAGAAAATGATAAGGATGAGAAATTTTTAATAGGCTTCTGAACCAATGTGTTTGCCATTAGTTAAGTAGCACTTGTATACCCTATTGTTTCATCTACTTTCCACTTATATACCCTCACTTGTATTAAAGTTTTTTTTAACTTGCACTTATATACCCTCACTTGTTTTTGGTAGCACTTATATGCCCTAAAAAAGTTCTTAAAACTTGCACTTACATACCCTAGAGTTTTTAAATCTGACACTTAAGTGCCCTAAAGTTTTTAAAACTTGCACTTATACCCTCAAGTTTGAATGACTAAGGGTATTTATGTGCAAGTTTTAAAAACTTTAGGGTATTTAAGTGTTAGTTGTAAAAACTTTAGGGTATTTAAGTTCTAGTTGTAAAAACATCAAGGTGTTTATGTGCCGCTAAAAAAAGTTAGGGTACATAAGTGCAAGTTTAAAAAACTTTAGGGTGTTTTTTTGCTTCCAAATACAAGGTGGGATATATAAGTGAAAAGTAGAAACAATAAGGTACATAAGTGCTATTTAGCCTTTTTACTTTTCCAAACATCTGATTCTTTTTCTTTTGTATTTCATATTTCTGTTTCATTTCTGCCCATGTTGCTCAAGCGATGAATAATTGCATTTTTTTTTCAGTTTTCTTATTAAAACTTCTTGTCAGCAGCATAGTTTTTTTCTTTTGCTGTGGATTATAAGCTTTTCTTAGGTTGTTTTTGTCATGTTATTGATCCTCTAATAGTTATATACCTTTTGTTTCTATCAGGGTCCCTGCCTCTTCCATGGGCTGCCAGAATGAAAATTGCTTTTGGTGCTGCAAAAGGCCTTGCTTTTCTACACGAGGAAGCAGAAAGACCTGTAATTTATCGTGATTTTAAGACATCCAACATTTTGCTTGATGTGGTAAGTGCTAAATGGACAGCCAAATTCGTCTTCTATCTACTGTCTTCTCGTTTCATCTTTTTCTAAAAGTATCCTTATCCAGGAATACAATGCTAAACTCTCTGACTTTGGGCTTGCAAAAGATGGTCCAGAAGGAGATAAGACTCATGTATCTACGCGGGTGATGGGAACATATGGTTATGCAGCTCCAGAATATGTAATGACAGGTTAGTTTAGTTTTTTATTTCTATTTGCAAATTCTGGATATAACTTCTTTGTTGAATATTTTGTGCTACTCTTGATACTTGAAAATTGTGCATTGGATATTACATCTTTGCTGAATGCTTTGTGCTGCCCCCTACATTTGAAAGTAGTGTGTTAGGACATTACTGTGAAGTATGTTGCACACAATTTCTCTCTTTCTTAACACATGTTTTGTGGTTTTCTATTTCTTTTAACATATAGTTTGGGTGTACCTGTGCTGTAATTGCGTCGTTAGTGAGTTATGATATGACACTTCCAACGCATATGGAACAAACTTTAGCTAAGTTGCCTTGTCGGTGAGCAATCTTATTGTTTCAAGATCAACTACTACTAGCTGGCAAACATAGACTGTTAGCTGGGGTGGAAACGAACGAAATAATTAACAAACAATTCATTAATTATTTGACTAACTATTAGGTCATTTGATCCTGTTGTTCATTTAATACTAAATAAATAATATTTAGTATTCTAGTTCATTTATGAATAGAATTTAATCAGTGGTATATTCGATTCGTTTGCTTATCAAATATTCATTTAAAATTTGATCGCTTATAATTTGTATCATTACACATGATTTTATATTTTCAACCTACTTATATTTTCTACTTAAGTTCAATATACTAATTTGAGAAACTTAAAAGAATCTTAAATCAGTTTTTAATGAAATATTCGAATTATACACACGCATCATAACTATAAAGAAATTATTTTTATTTTGAATATTTATCAAATACCAAGTATTGGAGTTCGAATTTGAAAAACTACAGACATAGACATTTAATTCGGGTTTGGATTCGAACAAATACAAATACGAACATATCAGGATTCGATTCGATTCGTTCATTTACCACCCCTACTGTCAGCTACCTTTTCTGGCACTAGAGGGATGCACGTGCACTGCACGTGGTCGAATTTCTTGATTGTTTATTTTGATTTTATTTATTTACTATAATTGGATTGCAAAATAGTTTATGGTTATAAAAAGTAGATTGGAATTGTTGAAATGTCTCTATTGCTAAAACATTGTTAGTTTCAATCAGACTCCTTCAATTGGGAAGAACTCATTGAACTCGAGGCTAACTATGAATTTCCTAACCACACATAAAAAGGCCCCATATTAGTCCCTTAAATCATTAAAATCACTCATGTGCCTCAACTCTTAAAAGTTATTTATAAATTAATCTCTCAAATTATTGAAAATTCTATTAGATTCCAATAGTCATTTCAAATTAATATCTTTATTATATGTATACTTTAAAGAAAAACCAAATGAGAACCAACTCTATACGCTGCCACGTTAGTATTTTCACACAAGAAATTGACATGTTTCCACTGCAACCTACCATCAATTTCAAATAAAAATCTTTAATTAAAATCTTAGCCGTCAATCTTTAATCATTGTAGTGGGATACACGTGTGTTGCAAGTGGTTAAATATTTTGATTATTTTTTTAAGTTTATATCTTCACCATTACTGCATTATGGGCATAATTGTTTTATAGGTTGAATTTATTTTCTTGGGTAGAAAAATAATAAAGTTAAATAAAAAAGAAAGAGATTAAATTTAGGAGTATCATAAAGAACTTTTGACTATTTACATATAATAATACATAAATCTAAGAGTGAAATGAGTAGAAACAATCTATCGAGTCCATGTGAATAAGGATTGATGAACGACATCACCTCAGTAAATTTCTTTAATTGACACCTATATATGTATTAATGTATATAACTTATGAATAAATGGCAACTGAGGACATTATAGTACATGTAAATAGTAAATAGAATACATGTCTGCTCTTTTTGCAAAAGTTATTGTGCAGATGATGATGATAATAAATGAATTCTACATTCTAGCATTGTTTCTTCTTGAGCTTGTTTTATCAAATTTCATAATATTTTCTTAACATTCAGATTCACCCTACTTGACCAAATTTTGTGAAGCTCCATGGAGCTCCATGGTTCTTTTTAAAATTAATAAAATTTTAGGATCTTTTTAGAGTTTCAGGGTTATTTTTATCGTAAATAAAAATTTCTGGTGTTTTATTAAGCTAGTATAGTGCACGTGCATTGCACATGGACAACTTGTTTTATGTTATGAGATATATGAAAAAATGCTCCAACTTATACGTTTACAACAAAATTAATCATAATAAAATTGAGCTCATCTCTATCTTAATATATGCTAATTTTGGATAATTTGCAACATTTTGTTCATAGTTTATAGCATTTTATTCATAATCTGATCAAAATATAATACTATGCTACAATATTCTTTTCCCACAAGGAAATGTAAAATGGTTTTAAATGGCATAAGCTTAAATTCACATTGATGTTTGTATTTTGTAGAATTTTTTGCATGAATTCTATAATCTATTGTGAAAATCAACTTGCACTGTATTTTAGATGACAAATTTTGTAAATTATTTGCATGAATGCTATAATCTATTGTGAAAATCAACATGCACTATATTATAGATAGCAAATAAACTATTTGAATGTAAACTATTGGCTATTGTCTTGATGTATTTACAATTCAAGGTGTTATAATCATTCACTATTCAGGAGCATGAAACGAAAAATTAAATATATTTGTTATTTGTACATCAATTAAAGAGTATTAAATGTAATGCATGCAAGATGAGAGTCACGCGGAACCTTTATTTTGATATAGTTTTCTATTAATGATGATATTTTTATAGTTCATTGATCTTTATATGTAACTGCATGTGACCACCAATAAAAGACTATACAAAATTACATGTAACCCCTTGTAAGATTAACAATCCCCCTCCCTCCCAAAATAAAATTTAAAAATTCCACCCCAACCTATCTCAAAGCACTAAATAAATTGGTAGCAAATTGAATTAGCTCATTGAAAGTGTTCCAAGCACACTCACATTGAGCAATATAGTTTCATAGTATTATATTTTTATTATTAGGTGAGGTACTTGATGTATGCCCCTAAGGAATTTTTTTTGGATCCACCACTGCATGTAACCTAATCTTATTCATGCTAAACAAAGCATGTATGCTTCCATGGATAGGAACATTAAAGATTATATCTACCATTCACCTTTCTAATTTATGGATAAAGTTTCCTTCATAATGGCAGATACCAATCGTTATCTTTGTAACACAGACTAATGGTTGAATTGGCCTATGAAGAGAGGGCTAGAAGGAAGATGAAATATAATTGTAATGTTGTTTTTCTGATAATTCTTATAAGCAAAAGGAACATAAATTTTCACTCTTGCCTCAAAAGTTAAACTCTCATCACTTTATTTGCATTCATTTTAATATCATGTAACAAAGGAATTTTTTTTCTATAAATTCTTAACTAGTAACGAAAACTTTCAACACTCTAGTGGAACTCTTAGTGTTCCAGATAAAATCACCCCCTAAAATACAATATAACTCAATACCTCTCATGTAGCACTAAGTTTGGTTACCGTACTCCCAAAGAAATTCACCCTTTCCTCAAAGGTTGAAATCTTGATTACTTCATTTAGGTTGATTACAATACAATGTGACAAAAAATATTTTTTTAAAGGACTTTCACAATCTAGTGGAACTTTTTGGGTTCAAAACAAAACTCAACAATTCAACCACTCACCTCAAGTATCCTCCCACAAATAGCATCAACTATCTCATCCCCAAACTTCCTCTGTTCACTAGCAATAATTGTGAAATCTGATATAATTGGCTTCGAAGTAAACATCAACTCTAAAAGCAACTGTTAATACACTTGAACGATCTATTCACCGTCTCAATCAACGCCTTGAATCGGTCAATAATGCAAATTGGAGAAATTTTGTAAGGTTTGATACTAATTTATACTGGCATGAAGAAGATAAATTAGTGTAATGTTTATAGTTGTGTAATGTTTGATACTAATTTATCACTGTCTCAATCTAACGCCTTGAATTGACCAATAATGCAAATTGGAGAAATTTGGTAAGGTTTGATACTAATTTATATTGGCATGAAGAAGATGAATTAGTGTAATGTTTATTTTTGTGTAATTATTGACAACTAAGAAATGAGACGTGAGAAAAGTGATAAAGTTTTTTTTAGTAAAGAGTATGTAGTGGAAGAAGGCATGCATGTAGTGAAAAGGTTGGCTGATAAAAGTGTAGGTTTGATAAATTAAGTTCGAGTTTTGATGGTGAAGTAGACTTTTGGGGCCCCACTTGGCTTAGTAAGTATTACTGCGTTGAGAGGCATGTGAAGAGACAGTAAATTAATTAAATTAAAGTTGGAATTATCAAATTTGAGAGGGGTGAAAAAGGTACAAAAGTTTTTTAACACCCCAAACATCTTTTATATGTAATATATATTAGGGACTTCTTTGTAAAGACTTAAACTATTTTTAATTTTGGATTTTTTTGCAAATTTTGTAAAATTTACTATTTTTTATAAATTTTTTAATATTTTGAAGTCTTTTCAGTTTCCATAACGCCTCGGTACGCTAGAATAGAGTCAAATGAGAATGGAATGAAGGTAGGAATAGATTGGAATTGATGTGGGAATGAAATACTCATTTTCATTCTCATGTTTGGATGCGACTAGAGAATTAAGTGGGAATATCTTTAAGAATGGTATATCTAAAATTTATTTTATCATTTTTATTATCACTTAAGTGGGAATATCAATTCTTGATAACTTATTGGGAATAGCAATTCCCACATTAAGTGAGAATTGATGAGAAATAAGAATGACATTTCTAGCATTCAAAAACATCATGTTTAGTAAGCATGAATGAGAAGTTAGAATTGCATTATATTCCCACTCATTCCCGCGTATCAAACAAGGCACAAGTTCTTTGAAATTTTTCGCAAAATATACAATACCTAAAAGTCTTTTGGATATTTCTACTAATTTTGTAAGATGACTTTTTTTAGATCTTCAGATTATGGAAGTCCTTTGGGTATTTCTACGAGTTAGGTAAGTTCTATAGATTTTGGATATTTTTTAGCTTGGTAATCACATATAATTAATATTATCTCCTTAATTATGGAGATAATTTAGGAGGCGCAAATATTTCATAATATCATTTAATTAGTTTCATCTTTATTTTTTAATTTTAAAATAAATAAGCGATAAGATAAAGAAGTTCTATATTTTTTAGATTGTTAAAATTATAAATCTGAATATATTTTCTATAGTAAAGAAATTGTTTAAGTTATGAGATTTTATATTTTGTAATTTCTTGAGAAGTGTCTGAGACGTGGAGATTAAAAAACCATCTATAACTTGTATCTTTTTAAGATATTTCAATTAATTAGAACATGATCACAATGAAGTCATATTAAAGATATTTCTGTTAATTAGGATAATTTAACATGTATAAAATTCTTTTGGATTTTTGTGCAAATTTTGTAAACTCTATGACTATTCTTTAGATTTTGTAAAATCTAGAATTTTTCTGCAAAATTTTCGATGCTTTAAAGTCTTTTGGGTTTCCATTTAAATTATATAATATTTGAAAGTCTTTTGGGTATTTCTACTAATTTTGTAAGTTGTTTTTTCTTGTAAAATTTTTAAATTATGTTTTTGATTATTTCTACGAGTTGTGTAAATTCTATGGATTTTGGATATTTTCTAGCTTGGTCACTCACACATAATTAACATTTGTCTCTTTAATTATGAAGATACTTCACTATTAAGGAGGTGAGAATATTTCGTAATATCATCTAATCTTTATCTTTATTTTTAAAAGTTAAATATAAAGAAATGAAGGATAAGATACAAAGTTCTATTTTTTATTTGTTAGGTACCAAATTTAAACCTTTAGATTGTCAAAATTTTAAATCTTCCTCTGTTTTTTCTAGTAAATAAATGGGATTTTTAAGGGAACCCCCCTTAGGCCCTATTACACATTACCACCCTTCATTATGTAATTTTTAGAAAACCTACGCAATTTGCCATTTTGTTAACATGGAACCACCTATGCACTTTTTCATCTAATTCTCCATCCAACAAATTATTTTTGACAAATTTAACCCTATATATGTTTAATTTTGTTGAGCTTTAAGTATTTAACTTGAGTATTCTAAATTATTTTTCATCTTAACTTTGATTCTACAAAAACGTTTCTTTGCCCAAAAATAACTCAGAGTCTACTTCATTATTCACTTTGATACCACGACGTTTGTTTTCCCCTCAAAAAATACCACAGAATTTAACAATATTTTGCTTTACTACAAATCCAACAAGATTTGATCTTGATATACTAAATTTCAATAAAATTTAATTTTGATTGATAAAATTTAAAATTTTAACTTTGATATTCAAAGTTTAACAAAGTTTAATCTTGATAACTAAATTTATAAAATTAAACCTGTAGGAGTAAAACCATCACAATATTAATTTATGGATGGAAAATAGGGTGGAAGAGGGTAGAGGTGGTTCTCTGTTAATGAAATAGTAGTTAGGGGTGGTTTTATGAAACTTCAGTAATTATGGGGCGTAACGTGAAATATGGTCCAACTTACAAGTGGTTTCATGGAAAAAAACCTAATAAATTGTGTAAGTTCATAGATTTTCTATTTTATAATCTGTAGAGAAGTGGCTGAATGTGAAGGCTGAACAATTATTTATAACAATATAATTTTTAATATAATTTTAAAAAATATAGTCTTTAATATACTTAAATCAAATCTTAGCTTATATACATATTAATTAGGATAGGATAAGATAATTGAAGCTTATACTTATTAGTTAAGAGTTAAGTAGGATAGGATAATAATGCAATATCTAACTAAGGGTATTTTTGTCCATGGAAAGTTTCTCCCAAACTCATGATATGATATGATATGATATTTTTCCAAGAACTAGAGTCTGGTAGCTTGCCTATGACATTCCAGAAGTGCATTCATTCAAGCTATAATTCATCCCCTGAACCTAAATGACAACTCCATTCGCGATCTTCCACAAAGGAAAGGGAACTATCAAATTGATCATTAATCGTTCGGAATCTCTGGCACCTTCAGCCTAAGATTTGAAAATAAATTCCGCATTATTTCATACCTGGGCTCATTGGTAATAGACTTCAATATTTTGCTGTTCTCCTTGCTGATGGACAAGCCAGTGTCGGCTTAAAACTTCACAGAATTCTTTACCAGCATCACCCTTTTAGAAACATGTAATATGCCAGTATCGGCTTAAAACTTCAACAGAATTCTTTACCAGCATCACCCTTTTAGAAACATGTAATATGTAATAATCAAGGTAAATTATTGGAAAGTTTGTTTTGCTTTTAGTATGCTTAAAGAGGCCCTAAGCGTTAGCAGTATCCATCTGCAGATTGACTTCCATGACAGTGGTAAACAAGGAGATAGATCTCCACATTGTTCCATCTCTCCCTCCTCCTCCAGCTGCCACCAAATTAGCCTAAAGGTAACAATTAGTACACTAATCAGGATAAAGTTGGTGAAGAGATGCATTCTTTTATCTGAGAGACATGGTAAAGCAGACAACATTTGATTCCAGCAAAAATGTAGTTGTCTTTTTGTATCTACCATGCTAAAAACCTAGCGAATTTCCAAACTGGTAATTCGCTATACCATCCAACTTATTACAGTGCTATGTAAGCGCATACATGTTCTTTTTTACCAACTTCTTATAGTGCTAATGTAGGTGCATGCATGTTCTTTTTTACCCTTAGTAAAATGGAAAATAATACTATACATATTTAGAAAGCGCACGATCAATTTGAAGTCATTATTTCTGGATCCTGTAGATAGATATTCTGACTTGTGTACTTCCATCCCTTCTTTCTTACTGAAGGACATCTAACATCAAAGAGCGACGTCTACAGCTTTGGAGTTGTCCTACTAGAAATGCTAACAGGCCGAAGGTCCATGGACAAAAACCGTCCAAACGGCGAGCATAACCTTGTAGAATGGGCTCGCCCTCATCTTGGAGAAAGGCGTAGATTCTACCGCATAATAGATCCTCGTCTTGAGGGCCAGTTCTCTATAAGAGGCGCGCAAAAGGCATCCCAACTCGCACACCACTGCCTTAGCCGAGATCCCAAGGCCAGACCTCTGATGAGCGAAGTAGTGGAGGTTCTCAAGCCATTATTAAACCTCAAAGACATGGCCAGTACTTCTCAGTTCTATCAAGCTATGTTAGCAGAAAGAGCAGCAGCTAATGCTAATAGCCCAAAGGGAAGAAACGGTGTTAAACAGCAAGGTTCATTTGGGAGAAATGGGCAGCAACCTGTGAGGAGCCTCTCCAATGGCGTGCGAAATTCTCCTTATCATCCGTCGACAAAGGGTAACGAAAATAAGCAGGCATAAATGAAGTGTGATTGCGTTGGTAAATTGTGTAATATATGTTGCAAATGTGAATGAGACGCATATAATTGGGCATTTTGATCATGTTTGTGTCTAAATTTACATGTGGGTAGAATGATTTGGTTCCCAATCTGAGTTTTTTCCCCCAACGTTGTGGAGATTTATTTATGATGTAATACAGGAAGAACTCCATTGCACAGGTTTTTACATGTTTTTAAGAGGCAATGGCTTCATATAATGAAATGATACGTGTACTGATGTTATAAATCTTGTACCTAGTTGAAGGAAATGGCTTGCATGTGAGAACATGAAGTAAAGATATCATCATTGTGTGAATGGACGACTCACCTCAGTAGAAAGAGGTGCTTGAAGATTTTTCCTGAGACTCCCGAAAACGCAAACCTGTGCTCTAGAGGCCTTTCTGTTTCTCTCAAGCTGATACGGGTCTGCTTTTTGATGATGAACGTTTCGTACATCCTCAGTTAGTGGAAACTATCATCACTTCACAACCTAATCCATGAACTCGAGATCACCTAATCTACTACTGTTCTTAGTCTTTCTGAATGCTTTGGTGTACTCGCATACAGAGTGCGTCCCAATCTTTCGAGGCCACCGTGTCAGTGAATATGTGCGTAATGGTAATGGTATTCATATTTTTCTACATTTAGCATTGGCTAAATACGAGAAAAAGCCCTTAACTTTGGACGATCGTTGGATTGCCCCCTGTAACTTTCAAAATATTAGAAAACCACACTTAAGTTGGTGCTCACCAGAAAACCCCCTTTAATTTTAAGGTTTTATCAGCAGACCCACCTAAACATGCGAAATGTCAAGAAACTGCAACTTTACATTGGTGGGTAAAATTACGCTGCTAATGAAAATTGTGATTTTTGGTCTCTATTCTGATATTTTGAAAGTTGTGGGGGTTTATATGATAATCGTCCAAAGTTATCTCCCTCTCTCTCTAACTTTTTTTCGCTTTTTGTTTGGGGGATGGGGCTGTAATGACATTTAGCCTTTAGAAATGATGCATATGGGTGGGGAAAAAAGAATCCATATCTGAGGATTTATTGGTATTCGTTAGGATGCAAATATCATTACTTATATAATTTATATATAATAATATATGGTTATGGTCATGGATGTATAGTGAAATATCGACATCAGTATTCGAAATATCCGAGAATATGTTAGTCACACAGTTACTATTTTGTTCCTTATATTAATGAATTTGAGGTTTGATTTTGATGATCAAGAGATCTAATCTTAGCTTTCGGATATAACGAACATATTAATGAACCCTCTTGCATCTTATGAACTATATTCTTTTCAATATTAACTAGTTTTCTTATATCTGTTTTGTATCCGTGTGTGCATCCACATGTATCCATATCCGATTTTAACGGATATGGATATGAATTTTCCTTACATAGACATATATGTCTCCCTATTTGTATTCGTCCATGATTAGTAAGCGAATATAGATATGATAGGTGGAGCATGCAGTTTTGAAGATTTTTGCACTTTTTAGGGGTGCAGGTGGTTTTGGAATTTGGTAGCAAGCCAATTTGCAATTGAGACATGATGGATGCAATATAAATTTCTTTGTTTTTGAATTTGAACGCCTTTTTATTATATGATGAATGGAAGTGAGGATGTTTACCATTGTTGTGGAGAATATTTTTCATCCTTCTCTTTTAGTTATTCATATGTGGTATGCTGTAGCTTTTATCGACTTGTTTTAGGGGGGATCGAAACTAGAAAACTCGTGTCTAGCTCAGTTGAGTTATCAAGCCATCTATGAACTTTGTAAGATGGTGGAATTTTACTTGGCTTTGTTTTGAAGATGTTCTTAAAGGTTTTATTTAATTTTCAGTTCAACCTATGAATTAGAAAATGATGAATTTGTTAGAATGATTGCAATCAGAAAATTCATGTGTGATGAAATTTTTCGGTGTTAAAAATTAGATTCTTGCAACATTTTGAAATTCATTCCGGCAATCAAGAGATCTTGAGATTATGAGAGTTCAACATTAAATTATTTGTTAAAGTATTCTATAATAAACTCCTTAAACTATATAAAGAGTTTTGAATATTCTAACCGTTTAAAGCAATCATATTAATCAACCCGCCACGCCCCCCCCCCAAAAAAAAAAAAGTCCAAATGACAAAAAGAGTGAGAAATTATTTACGTAAATTAACCCTTAACTATCTTCTTTATTTCCTTTTTTCCCCGTAAATAATCCAGATTAAGAAACGCCCATAAAATTGCTTTCCCAGAGCAGCCCCTTTCTATTCAATAAGCCCCCGGCGTCCTCCACTAAAAACCCTAGACCGGATCCGATCCAATAACTCCATGGGCGGATCCATGGCGATTGCCGGGCTCCTCCTCCTGCCAAACCCAATCCAACTCTGCCCATCTGCTCCACCTCCCACTTCCCTTCTGCCCTCCCCCTCCCTCCTTCCCTACCTCGCCCCGCCGGCGACCTCCACCGCCGCACTTCCCTCCTGCCTTCCCGCACGAGATCGAACCGATACCGCCGCCTCCTCGCGTTTCTGCAGGGCGACCGATTTCTTGGATCGAGACGGTTTGCGGAAGCGGATGCGGGTCGAGGACCGAATACCGGTGCCCCCACCGATGCCCCAACAGCAGCCGAGGATGACGTCGTTTGAGGACGAGAGGAGGTTGAGCTTGATTCGGGAGCACGGGCAGCAGAACACTGCTCCGCTTTCTGATCACAGGTTTGATTACGTTTCGCAAGCGAATTCTTTTGACGGGCATCGAAATTTTCAGGACTTTTCAAGGCCGGAGAGCGTTGACAGGGTTTTGCTGCCGGAAAGAAGGGATTTTTATGGCGGAGGGGTTGAAAGTTTGAGAAATAGAGGTGAAGAGAAATATGTAGATCGAGGCTCGGATGAGCGGTCATTTGGGGAGTTCAGGCCATCACTTTCTCGTGATCGCGAATTTTATCTGAATGAGAGCTCGTCTTATAGATTGCCGAAACAAGCTCAATATCCTCACTCTGAGAATGGTTATATGATGCATTTGTCAAATGAACCTCAGTATCCTCTCTCTGGGAGCGATCATATGATGCCTTTGCCAAAACAAGCTCAGTATCCTCACCCTGAGATGCCTTGTGCAAAGCAACCCGAGCATCCTCAGTCTGAGAGTAATCATATGATGCCTTTGCCAAAGCAGCCTCAATATCCTCGCTCTGAGGGTTATCATATGACAAGAACAGCAAGTGATGAACAAGGGAGCCACCATCCTCCGCCATATCCTAATTATGGTCCGCCATTAGAAAATAAATTTGAGTTGCGAAATGAACAAATTACTCATTTCGCACCCAAGCCTTATGTTAGCTCTGCTTCTCATGAGAGTAATGACTATAGGATGGATTCGACGTTGCCAGGTCGAGTTTATAATTCTCTACACTACGCTCCTTTGCCACCTCATCCTCCAATCCCTCCACCTCCTGAGCCTTCTCCTCCACGGAATTTTCAAGATAAGCCATTGATACGGTCACCGCCTCCCTTGCTGAGTCCCATTCCGTCTACTAATTCAAAACCTTTGTTTCCTACTCCACCTATTAGCCGAAACATTTTGGAATCTCGCTCAGCGGTGCAATCCAAATTCTACGCTGAGACGGTTGGCCACACGACTGGGTTTGTTACTGAGGTGATTTTTGTTCCCTTTGTTTCGTTATTTTCTCAACTTAGCATACCTTGGAGGCATGATATTATATTGTGTTTGTTTTTCTTGACACTAGCATCTGTTGTTTAGGCGTATCCAATACATGTTAGAGCTATAGCATACCATCCTAGCTTTATTTCTTTTCTAGACTTGATGCGTAGCTGTATCTATACGGTCAGTTTCCGCAACAGAAGCTTTATACACTCGGATTTACACGCGTTCATGCTTGTCTTGTGATCGCCTGTGGCTTTGATTCCATTGTTACCTCTCCCACTGTGGACCTATGCATGTCTATGTTGAATGACATACTCTGTAAACATATGGGTAACAATAATTTGCAGTTCCCAAGTTCAAGGCTGTGTTAAGATCTTAGTTCTAGAAAATAAGAAAAAGAAAAATGTAATATGGATTAAACTTAGGATATACACAACTAGCTTACCTAGATGCCCAGCCTAGCCTAGGAGTGCCTAGGGGAGGATGGGCCACTTACACGAATTGCATCGCTTAGTTCTTGGTCGTTATTTCCTCCATTGCAGCCCCAGCATCTTCCAACCTCCAAACCTATTTGGCCTCCTTCACTAACTGTGGATACATCCACCTCCAATTTTCAGAAAAACTCCACCACTACATAAAGAAAGGTAGAAATCTGCCTAGGCGCCTAGGCGTTGTGCCCCAATTCGGCAGTCTAGCGGTGCCTAGCGATTTCAATAACATTGACGTTTATTATTAATTATTGTAACTGAAAAAAGGAAAACCATCTAGGCCCTACCTAGGCTGTAGGTGCCAGGTTCGCCACCTAGGCGGCGTATCATTTTGTGGAATCTTCCATGAGAATAATTTTAGCTGAATACATGTTCAAAAATTTTTCTAGAGTAAAGGTAATAAAAAGACAATGATTTGATCAATTCCATAGACATGTCTAGTTGGAAATTTTGATCAAGTCGACAGATATGTCTATTTGGAAATTTTGTTTTGTAAATATTTCAGTCATCTTGTTGCTCTTAGTGTTAGACACTGAGTATTGTATATTGTAAATGAATTTTTTAGTTACCTAAAAAGAACTATAAGTTCTTATAACTTATGAGGCAATGCAACAATTTGCAAAACATATAGTTATAATCATTTATTGAAAATCAATTCGTAGGAAGTTGACATGAGTGAGCCTCTTCATATGGTTACAAAATGATAAGTGAACCTTTTTGCCAACGATGATTAGCAATCCACTTATAGATTCCATTATTTTATCAATTCAATATTCAAAAATGGTGTTCTACGAGAAAGGTAATGCACTTGCAAATTGATGAAAGAAGAACAGTTACATCTTCCAATCCTCCCATATTGTATAATTGCACTTGCATTTCATAGAATTCCTTATATGATGCTTATGGCTACCATTCATTCCACTTACACATTCATGTTTGGTTCTGAGACTTAATAAACATCACTTCATGATCCAAGTGCCTAGAAGAGCATGCGCGTAGTGTTCTTATACTCTAATAGAGTCACGTTGCTTTTGCTTCTCTCTCTCTCTCTCTCCCCTTTCCTTTTTGTAGAGATGTAGACTCATGACTTGGTCCTTGGAGATTGGAATTGTACTCAGTGTCTCATAGCTGTACTTAGATGTTAGTTTGATTTTGAATTAAATTTAGATCACAAATAGCAAGTGTCAATTTGCAAAATGCTAACTCTTATAGAGTTTGAGGAAGAAGGTTGAAGAGGCCCAAAAACATTAAAACATTTAGGAGAAAAAATAAAATAAATTTAGAAGCAACTTTAAGGATATACCTGTTAGTAAGAACAGTGAGATTCCTTTATTTGAGTACTAAAGGTTTGGAGAATTTTAGGTTGATAATATGGGAGAACATTGCACTAAAAAACTCCACGAATTTTCTCCACGTCAAAGAAAACCTCAGATATCTAACTTGAATTTCAATTCCCGCTTCATGGTAATGTGGTATATATAGAATAGCACATGTCGCTCCAATCTGTCTAATCTTGGAGTATGTGTGCCAAAGCCCTTATTCGCTGGAGAAAATGATTGATTGTTCAAGTTGTGATTATGCTGAAGGTTTTGGTTATCCCTTATCAGCTAGGATGGGGCTTCAGAGTCTAGGAGCCAGCCATTTTGCTTAGTGAGAAAACTATTTGTCACTAGATCGATTCAGGATACCTGAAATGAACTTTAGTGCGTATCCTGGTGCATTTTACTAGCACTTGCAAGGGTGGTTAAATGCTACCAATCTTCAAAATTTATAACAGGGTTTTGTTTTTTTATATGTTGGTTTTCTTTTTTTAATATTTCTTGTTGCCGTATTGCTCATACTGATAAGCTTGATAGTCATGTTTTGATGTCTAGCTTTATTTTCAAGTCAACTGCAGAGCTGATGAATTCTGGTTGTCTGCAGTCTTTCTGTTTTCGTGCTAATATTTCTCATCTGAGTTCCTTCACTATAAACAAAAGGATTAATGTATTATTCTTGTTGATGATGCAGGCATTAGGATTTATACATCAGAAACCATCCAAGGAATACATGGAGCGAAGAGGACAGACATTTCCGAATAGGCGTCCTGTTAAAGATGAACCTACAGTTATTGATGCATGCCAATTGTTCAAGCAGCCACACCGAGCTTCTCGTCCTGATCGTATTGTAGTCATCCTTCGGGGACTTCCAGGTTTATTATTTGGGATCTTATATTTTATCCTGTGTTCAGTACTGAATGCCAGAGTTCAATGTTATAGACAAGACTGGACTTGGTCCATTCACGAATAATAGTTGTGTATGAAGAGAGCTCAAAATCTACAAGATATAAAGTGCAAAAGAAATGACCGAATCATACTATATATCTTGTTGTTGCTCATCAGTGTGGTAAAAAGAGGTAAAAAATGGTAAAAAGCACCCAAAAATAGGCCCGAAAAACACAAGTGCCCCTAAGCCTCTGCGCACGGGGTCAAAGCAGTGGGTTTTGAGCAGTCAGGAAGCTTTTCACTTGAAAAATCGTGCCTTAAGCGGTCACGGCGCAGAGCACCCAGATAGTGGCTCTGGCCAAGAAGCACCCAGATAGTGGCTCTGGCCAAGAAGCACCCAAAAAGTTCCCAAGTAGAGCCCTTTGATAATTTACATTAAGTTAGCTTGTAGTCTACTACGTGTTAGTTTATCACATTACTATGTTTATTGTATTTTGTTAATATTACGTGATTGAATCTAAGTATTGTTGCACATCTATTTCATGCTTAGGATCTTTATAAATCAACCCATGTGTTTGTAGAAAAAATTTCTCCACTTTTTGCTGGTTCTATTTTCAGATTTTTTTCTTCTTATTTTCTGATTTTTGTCCCTATTTAGAAATTGAAAAACTGACTTGGCAATTTTCTCCGTTTAAGCCCCAAAAAGCCGAACGGCATCTTGCCGCTTCGCTTCACTTTCCTCTTTTGACAACCTTGCAACTTATTTTATTGCTTGGTTCAGCTTTTCAAAATCTGAGCGCACTCCTAGAAGGCCTGTAGGATCCATTTTGAGGATTTTATACTGTATGCTATACCTTGATGTGCTCCTTTTACTTTTTATTTGCAAACCAGCAATGTATCAACTGAAATGAGAGAGATGTAAGGGAAATGTTTGTAACCACTAAGAATGAAATGGTTGAAGGGTATGTTATTAAGGCAATGCCAGTTAGATTTCAGAATTCAGATAGATCTCTTTGAACCTATCTATTTATCATATAAATTTGATTTACTTGTTGATTTACTACCATCAATCCATCCATTGTTAAATTACTTGCTTTCAATTATAATTAAACTCATAAAATTTTGAACTTTTAATCCGCGAGTTCACGGTGGCAAATCAGATAGTGACCACAAAGTAGTATTTGGATAATTTTAAGTTATCTTAGTACCTTTTTTTAGTTAATTAAAAGTTTTCAGCTACTGCTAGGAAATCTAATATTTCGATCTGAAACTGCTGAAAGACCCACTTTGGATGCGCCTCGCGTAGTGCTGATAATTCAAATTAGAGATCATGAATCTTGTTTTTGGAGTGTCTCCTGTTATCAGTTTTTGCCTACTGATTATTATATTTCTTTAGGCTTTAATTGTTAAAAGAAGAAACCCAATAGATACAACGTGCTATGTTGCACTTGAAGCTTTAGTGATAAAATTGACCTCAGTAATCTTCTTCCCTAGGCTTCAAATTCTGGGGCCAATCAAATTCTGACTTGTGGAGAGTAAACAAATATCTTCTGGTTGGTGAATGGCTTTTATATATATGCTATTCAGTTCATCTGATTCATTAGCTGAATATAATGGTGCATGTCATCATGCATTTTTATTTAACTGAAGGATTTATCTTTGACTCGGAAATGAAGTGTTTTTTATATTTAGTTTATCTATGTTTGCTGTCTTTCCATTCCTTATATTCTAACTGTAGATTGTTGTAGCTACGATTTCTGTTATCCTCCAAATCTTTATGTAAGTAAGACATGCATGCTATAATTTCATAGGTAGTGGAAAGAGCTACTTGGCCAAGGCACTACGTGACCTTGAAGTTGAATCTGGAGGAAGTGCACCACGAATTCATGCAATGGATGATTATTTCATGATTGAAGTAGAAAAGGTGAGAAGATACTTCTATTCATGGATTATTCAGGTGTCACCTTTCTGAAAACGATTAATTGCTGTATGTTTTCATTTCTCGTTACCGTGCCAATCTTTTCTTATGTGACTTTTTCATATTTCTTTTTTCTATAAAAGGTTGAAGAAAATGAGGGCTCTAAATCCTCCGGTTCATCCCGAGGGAAGAAACAGACTACTAAGAAAGTGATCGAGTATTGTTATGAACCTGAAATGGAAGAGGTGACTCGATTACCTCTGTTTTCTTCTATTAACTGCATGATATTTGATGTTTTCAGTATTTTTTTCTAATCTGGTTCTCTTGATTGCTGGAACCTCATGTTAGCAATTATAAGTTTTGGGATTCAGCTGTTTTGTTTTAAGGAAATTGTAACAATTGTGATCAAATCTTGTTGCGCTATACTATATGCTATCTGGAATGGAATCTCTTGATTACTTATTACTTAATAGTATTAATTTGTTGCACTAGTTTGTTTTAAGGAAAATGTTTTTTCTTTAGACTGGTAGGACAAGTCTGAAGCAAACGTCATCGCCATTCTACTTAGCAACATATGAATAAGTTAATATTTATAAAAATGGTGTAAATAGAAAAAATTATCTGATGTCTTTATTATAATGTTAATTAGGTACCATATATTTTGTCATAATCTTTTAAGAGATACAAACCTGTCATATCTGTAATAATGGACCACCCAAGTTCAATTCAGGAATAGTTATGGCAGAACATTAAGAGTGGGTTGTCTATCAAGACTACAACCAAAGTAATATTTTATAATCCCTCTAGGTTAACTATGCAAACTCATAATCTTTTCGAAATGCAAGTTGGTAAACAACAAGTTTAATCACACATGATAATGGCAACTGTAGTAGGTTAGGCATGCAAGATAACTTTTCCTGGATGAAATTAAATTGAATAGTGTAATAAGTCTTTCCAATGTGACACCAGCCATTACTGTTGCTGTTCTGTGATACATGCCCACATGTATATTTCAAGTAAGGTTTGATTTTTAGCAGTTGAGAGATTGTGTTGTCTATTCATGGCAATTACTAATAGATCTTCCGTTGCGTGTTTTTGAGTCGAGCTGGATACTATCAACAGAACAGATATTACCATGCTGATGCTATCACCAAAATTAAAAGACAACCATGGAAATTGGAAGTTCATGTTATGTTGTTGGATGTGATCTATTTCACAGACTTCTAGTAGCAACAATTTCAATTGGTTTTCAATGTATTTGATTAATTTTTCTCCCCTAGTTGAATGCGTAAAGCATCTCCTAATTGTTTGAAATTTTATTTCTAGCTAGTCAATGTATATTATTAGAACACATCCGAAGGTATAAATTTCAAATTTAAAAGGACAAATTTAAATTTGGTTCATAGTATCTGCGTGTTGAATACTGTTGGTAATGATGATCCAACTCAATTCCATGTTTTTATCATCTTTACGCATCTGATGCCTGATAGAGAAAAATGTTGTGTTGAATGTTCTTATCTTCTAGTTGAGGATCATGTTCATTCATATATACCATTTTAAGCTCATCTTTATATCCCAGTTTTTTGAACAACAACCGTCTTTTATTTCAATTCTGGGGTTGGTTATATGGATTGTTTCCTTTCTTTCTTCAAAAGACCATTTCTTGTTGAATCTTCTTTCATCCCAAGTTTTGGTCTGTATCTCATAATAGCACCACTGTCTGCAATCCAACAATCCACAAATGGCTCTTCCTTCTTTTTATATTGAACATATTCTAGAAGTCTTGACATATTTTTCCTCATCTTAGCCTCAAATGATACCTCTAATCACTGTTGAGAGAAATTCTGAAAAGAGCTCTGCTAAAACCCCACCCCAGCCAAACCAATGAGTGCTGGATCATATCAGTTGTTAACACTCTCGAGTACCAAAATCCATGATGATGATGATGATTGAATGAGTCACTGTATAGATACTGTACTCATGAACACTAGATCCATTAAGTAGATGATTAGTGGTACAACTTGAGTCACCACTTGAAAAGCTTTTCTGCGGTAAGGCTACTCTATTAATCAAAGGTTGTTTTTGAAACTAAGACATTTCAAATTTGAATTGCAGTTCTGCCGTAAGGGTTGTAAGATTATTAGATATTTTGTATAATATGACTGTTGATCCCCTTCTTAATGCATATCATGGTTTTTCTTTTTTGATAGGTTTATCGGTCCAGTATGTTGAAGGCTTTCAAAAAGACTTTAGATGAAGGGAACTTCACATTTATAATTGGTATGGGACTTCTAACAGGAGCCAGACATGATTTTTTGAAAAGCGAGGGTCATTATCTGGATTACTTTGTACCATATTAGTATTACTATCTGCCATTACCCCTTATCATGCTTTTATCTTGATATATTGTTTACTTTACATATGTTGTGCATTGATTAATCTTGAGTGTTTTTCATTGTTATGATGAATACACCCCTGCGCATGGAATGCCTTCTGATGATTATAACTAGAGTTTTGAAAACACTGCTTTTAGGCATAAAATTCATTCAACAATTATTGAACTTTTTGTGAAACTTTATTAAGGTGAAGTAAGTGGTTGTTCTTTATGCAAAAATAGAACCAATAGCACCTGGGATAACAGTTCATAGAGAGGCTTTCCCACTGTTCTAGCCCTTTCAACTATTCAAATAAATTAATACTTGGTTTGGTTTTGGAATAAAAGTTCATAGTGAGGCTTGCCCACTGTTCTACCCCTTTCAACTATTCAAGTCACTCAATACTTAGTTTGGTTTTGGATGAAGTGGTTAAGTGCGGTGCCTATGCAGCATGCACTGCCTACGTTTTCACTAATGACTGATGCAGCGTTGTTTGGCAACTGACCGATTTGTGCTGGTATGTTTGCCTCCTATAGTGGATGACCGCAATCTGCGGGTAGCTGATTTTGCTCAGTTTTGGGCAGTTGCAAAGGTATACTCTTATTCTTTCTTTGTGACAATTGTGAGTACTTCTGTTCTAGTGCATTTGGTTTACTTGTGATGTATCTAACATGTCAATCAATTTTAAGAAAAAAGACATTACCATCAAAATGTTCAGAGGCATTAATCACAAGTGATTTAAAGGCACTCTTTCACTCCCAATCTCCCATAATACTTCACACTTTACTCGTGGAAAGAGTCCTTTTGACTTAGGTTATTCGTAACTACTTGACTTTTTTACTCACCCTTATTTAGTGAAGTCATACTTCTTCTTAACTTCAAGTTTAGTGATTTTGGTCTGCCTGGCTAGCCATGTCTAACTGAAAGTGTGTTTGGCTTTGCTTTGGAAATTTAGCAACCTGGAACAATACTGAGATGCACCTGACTTGCCCAGTTCTTTGCCATGTCTAACGTCTTCCCTCTCCTCTCTTCTCCTCAATACTTGATTTAGACATGCAAGGTATCTGCGATAAATTTACTCACTTCATTGACGGATTAGCTGGTAGGACATGTATTTTTCAGTTCAGTTCATCTCTCAAGAGTAAGTTTATCATATAAAGAAAAAGTTAGTAGAATTTGGAAAGTAACTCAGAGCCTTCTAACATTTCCCCAAACCAAAAGTTACATGTTCCTCATCTTGAGCAATTCTTCTCTTATAATTTGTTCAGTACCATATAGGCTTGTTGGTGTTAGAATCCTGAATTTAATTTTTGCTTTTTTAGCTTCGTGAACAATTTACCGCAAAATACATGTAAGCATACTGAGCTGATCATACTCTGAGATGTATCTATCTAAACTACATATATTGTGATTGGCTAGACAATAAAACTCTAAATCCTAAAATGGTGCAGTGTTTAGTTTAATATTGGTATTGGATGCTTGCATCTCTTGTCGCCTGCTTTATCTAACAAAATTATTGAACATGCTCTTAGATGGTGTATGCATGTTCGCTGATAGATTCTTGAACTCTAAATGCACCTGCAAGCTTTCTACTGACGTTGCATGTTTTATCTAGAGATTGCCTTTTTTTTTGCTGACAAGGGAAACCCGGTCAGTTCCCCCAACTTTTAACTCCTTTGGAGTCCGTCAGCGGCCCTGGACTTCTGGCTAGCGTCACAAAGAGTGAGGGAGGAGATCTCCCTAGTTGGTCAGGGGTTCAAATCCCCGCTTCCGCATTCATCTGTGGGTTTAAGCATGGGGACAGAAACCCGGGGTTTTACTGGTCAGTTAATCCAGCCCGTCGTGCCCATTCGGGCCCCATGTTGATCGCCCATTCACGTGGGGGCGAGCCCCTGGTAGCAATGATAGCTCCTTTCAGAGGTGGGAAGCCTGAGGGTTCCGAACCAGGGCCGCTGGCTAGAGATTGCCTTTTGTTAGGACTGATTTTTGTTGATCATCAGCAGTCAGTCCTTGAATTCAGTCAGCTTGAAGTGCTGGCAGATACGTTGTAACATCTCAATCCTATGTTTTGAGACCAGTAGACGAGGAAGCTAGATTTGCAGCTTTGATATGGCTGTGTATCTTAGGTGAAACTTGAGGAGAATGGTTTGAGCAAGTTTTCTTTTATGCTATCTCATTACGAGTAATCACAACGATGTTGGCATTTTTTCTAGGTTAATCATGCATCTCTGTATGTGTATACCAATCCTTTAATTTTTGAGGTATTGAATATATTGTTTTGGAATTTGGACAGCTGTGACGTTTATACTATCTATGACATTTGCTATTTGTAGATGTTTTATACCATTTCCTGAGGCCTCCCATTTGTATTAAGAGACCCCAGGGAGATGCTTGAAATAAATTAATCCTTCTTCTTCATGTATATGTCAAACAGTCCCTGTATTCTGGTAAAATAGAGCGTATGTCTTCCCCAAGAAAAATGCTTGATACCCTCATTGATGGTGATGCAGAGATCATTTATTAACCATGACTTTATTTTGCAGTAATTTGTTTCTTAAAAGCCATACTTTCAGAGAAGATAATGGAACCATCTGTCAGATAGAATTTTCAATCTTTGTGATGATTTTGGTTGAACAGCTATTTGCTTGTTGGTTGAATGGAAATCTGTTAAGCACTTATTGGATAGAAGTTGATTGTTAGTTGAAGGTTGGCCTGGCCAACAAGTTCTCTCTGTGTTTTTTATGGAAGCACCATGTGGTACAGTATCTAACATATCAACCAATGTGTATGTTAGATTTCATGTTCAGGTGGTAAAATTACCATTTTTTCTCTGCCCTCCTATTTGCTTTTTGGTGCGTAAAGCTGCTTGATGATAGGCCAGTAGGATTAACATTGACAAAGACCGTGTTGGGAAAGGTTAGTACTACCTTGTGGCCTTTGGGAATTTCTAGTGCTAAAAAAAGAGTCCTTACATAGTTGGTAGGGCTGGAGATGGTGTGCTTGGATGGTAATCATGGGATCAAATAGATGAAACTGTCTTTAGTTGGTTGGGGGCTTTATTTGTTTATTTTTTTGAGGCTTGAGCAGCAGAGTTTGTGGTGGATCTGGCGTTTATAGCTTTCTTCAGAGGTGCATTTAGAACCAAACTTCATATGACCATCTTATCGTCAGTGTAATTCCTTCGTATTTTGGATGTTCACAAAGTTGGCTTTAGGATAACTGCAAATGAGATGATATATGGAATGCAGTGGGTTCTATCTCTCTTGTGAATTTCACCAAGTTCCTTTGAGGGAATGGGCTATATAATGGTTAGAAGAAGACTACTATAAGCATGCCTTACGGAATTTCCCACCTAAGCTTCCTATGTAGAGGACCTAGGAGCTCCAATTCACCATCCGCTATTCTTTCAAGGATAAGCAACTGGTTTCAATAAACCTGTCTCTTCTTAACTACTACTATAGATAACTCTATTGCTTGCATATGAATGGTGATATATTAGTTAACTTTAATTTAGTTATAAAATTAAACATTCATATTGTTTAGTTTTTACCTCTTTCTTCATGGTAGCTAAATTTTTTGTTTGGACAAGGTTATTGCATACTATGTGTATGTTATACCTTCATTAACACAATAAAAATATTTAGTTATAGTGTCATAACAGATTCTACAATTGCACATTATCTCCTTTACCATATTTTATTTTGTATGCTTCCGCAACAGTTAGTTCCTATAGGGGATTTCTAAGCCTAAAAAATGTGCTGGAAGACTGGAAATTGCCAAACAGGTGTTTAAGGACTCGTGTCCATGTGCATATGCTTGTTTCTTTTGTCTGACTTGGAAATATAGTGCGGAGAACTTAACTAAGATATGAGCAAAAATTGACTTTGTTACTTGAAAATGTTTTATTAGGGCTCCATTTTCTTCCTGACAGGTAAGAACTAAAGTTTTTGGAGTTGGTCTGATGCAAATCTTTATCTCTTAGTTGTCATTCTCACAATGTCACAAGATAGGATTCGATACAGGGTTGTATATATTTTTTCGACTAAGTAAACCATGCTAAAATACTTCAGAATTTACATACCCATGAGATATATACTTTTATTTGAATATATCAGATCGAAGCACACATGTAGTCTGGTTAATGTTGCATTTTTTCGTGTTTATTTTCGTTGCTATATATATCTCCTTTATTGTTTTCATGATCAGAGATCGGGGTATGAAGTGTACTTGCTGGAAGCAACATACAAGGATCCAACTGTGAGTTTTTCTTCATATTTTCTTGTAAATATGTTTCAGTTGATAAGAATGTAGCAGATATTTTTTGAGGATGGAGGTTAATACGTTAGATTTATGTACCATCATAATAGTGACAAGTATCTTTTAACATTTTTTATATATTAATATGTTTTATTCTCAATCTTTGACAAAAGTGCTTAGTTTAGTCTGAACCATGTGGAATATATATTTTTCATGTCCTTTATATCTCATAGTGCATACTGTTCTAAAATGGAGAAATTTGTAAAATAAACCTTTTCGAAAACAATATAAGCAAAATCGACCATTTGATAATAAAATTAGCAAAATCGACCTCATTTTGGCTTGCTGGCCAAAATGAGGTCGATTTTGCAAAACAGAAGGTTTAATTTTCACGGGATTACTAGTCCTGTGTAATTAGAGCTTATCCATTGTTTACAAAATAATCCTCATCCTGATCATCTCTTGACGGAGGGGAGGAGGGAGAATATGAGCTCCCAGATTTCGTCAGGGAAGAGGGCGATCCAGTTGGAGGTCTTTTTTTTTTAAAATCTCACCGGGGGCGGTGACGGGATCCGAGGGATGGAGGCGAACGAGAGCAAGGGAGATGGTGGAGGGCATTGAGGGAGGTGACAGGATTTTAAGAGAGCAGATCTCTAATCACATGGGACTAGTAGTCTCGTGTAATTCCCAAACCTTTTTTCAGCAAAATCGACCGTTTTTGCGAAGATGGTAGAAAACGGTCGATTTTGCTAATTTTGCTATAAGAAGGTCGATTTTGCTAATATTAATTCAAATATGGTCCTTTTTAAAAATTTGTCCTTCTAAAATATGCTTATCTTCGAAATTCTGAACCTGAAAACTTTGTAGCTTGAGTTGTGAATTTGAAAGGGACCAAATTCAGATGTGTTTATGAATTCTGTTACCAAATAATATTTAATAAAGACCATATTTAGATTAGTACTTAGTATGTATTTGTGACTTTTGTCAATTGTATAAAATTAATTTGGTAGAAAGGGAGGTCAACATCAAGGTTTTTTCTGATTTTGATGCCAGTTTCATATTCAAATAATATTTACTCTCTAGGTATTTACTGTCTTCTTTTCTGACCATCCTGTCGGCAGCTAAATTATGATCTCAAACAATTTGGTGAAACTCCTTGTTTCAAAACTGAAAAAATCTTATAGCGTTCCCTAGTATAGTTCGAAATACAATACAGTCTAACTTGATGCCTGCCTATGATTACAATATTATAAGTCTTTTGTTCCCCTTGATATTTCATGAATAATTTTGATCTAATATGGAAATATTTTTTCGTCTAATAAAGTACACGTATGATTTATTTTCAAATTACTCTCAATTTATCTGCTGATATTTGCTGAAATTTATGCAAATGGATACTTGCAGTATTTCAACCCTTCAACCCTCATCTATTCAACTGTGGGTTTACCACTTTTCCCATATTTTTCTTTCCGTATAAGGTTAACAATGGTAAGCTATGAAGTTGGCAATAGTAGAATATATAGGACAGGTACATACGGCATCTGTTTAGCTATAAACTTATTCTGAACTTTGCCAAATAATTTCTTAAAGATCCTGATCCTTAAGGAGTTAAAAGTCCAAGCATCTGAGGCTCGAAAAATTATGACAACTAACTTGTGATAACGCTGAATTCATCTAACACCAATTTTAGAGGCTCTGGGAGCTGGATGTGCACCGTGAACCTTAATTTGGGGGTGTATGTTCATTTGTAGTTTGTGTGCAAGTATCTTTCTATCTGTTTGGAAGCAATATCACTTGTTTTGTGACGATTTATGTAGTGGACGATTTATGTAGTGACTTTGCTTCTTTCTTTTCTACTTTCATTTTTGCATAGGGTTTCCTTTTAGCTTTAGTATTGTCTAATATCGTCATGGAAATTTAGGGTTGTGCTGCTAGGAATGTGCATGGGTTCACGGTACATGATATACAAAAAATGGCAGAGAAATGGGAGGAAGCTCCATCATTATATTTGCATCTAAACATCCAGGTTTGTCTTTTTCTTTTTGTCATGTTAATTACCTTTCCTCATTTGCATTCTAGGACACTAATGTCATTGTGACAGAAGTTTCTTTCTTCAGCGTAACTTAGCAGTCTACTATATGCTAATTAGTTCTTTGCATATTGTTCTGACCTTACAGTCATTATTCCGTGGGGATAATTTGAATGAGCAATCTATCCAAGAGGTAATATACTCTGACATCCTTTTTTGTTGCTTTTTCGGTACAACTTTTCATTTTTGTTAAACATTTTAATATTAAATTAGAACATACTGTGCAACTTGTAAATCATAGGAAGGTAATATTTGACTTATATATTGTATGATGAATATTTACGTAGTTCTTTTCATAGTGCTTCAAGTCAGTTTGGATCAGTAATATTGTTATGAACATTTACTAGTTTTATATAATCTCTTCTGTTTGTTGCGTCCTACTTTGGCCTTCTACTACAGGAAATTGATTTATGAGATTTTGGCTTAATTCAGCAACTGTTTCCTCTCCTGCATAAAGGCCCCAACCATTTTGATTTCGTTTGGCCAATTTTTTGGCTCCTTTCCTGAGGCATTAAGATTGTGTGTATTTAGAATTTGTTTTGTTCGGGAGGATAGGGGTTGGAGGAATTCTGTGGCTAGATCTTCAGTGTGGACTTATGCTAAGGAATAGAATAGCATTCTAGAAACTGTTGTGATACAACAATGTTACGTCACAGACTAAGCTCTGGGTGTAATTGCCTAATGATGGATATTATTGATGGTCACTGACATTTAGCATATAGGGTACGTAATAATGCTGATTAACTATTTTCGCATACTTGTCTGGGCTAGGATTTTGGTACAAATTCAGAGGAGGGTTGCGTCAGGTTGAAAACCATGTTTATCTCCTTAACTATTAGTTGTCCCCATTTCTGGTTTCCTTACACACCACACATATAATATTGCCATTTATTTGTTCATTTCATTTGATCGATTTTGCTTTTTATCCTAGTTTTCATTACACACACACACAGCATTTTGATGATAGTAGTTGGAATAGTTTTTGTTGATGTCAGTTTATCAAACCGGGGGTTTATGCCTGAGTTATAAGAGTGTTTAGAGGCCCAAACTCCTTTAGATGATTGGTTCCAGAGCCCACTGTTCTTCTCAACACATAAAAACTCGTAAGAGGGCGGAGTTGATGATAGTAGATGGAATAGTTTTTATTGATGTCAGTTTATCAAACAAGGGGTTTATGTCTGAGTTATGAGAGTGTTTAGGGTCCTCAAACTCCTTTAGATGACTGATTCCAGAACCTAATGTTCTTCTTTACACATAAAAACTCGTAAGAGGGCAGAGTGAGGTTCTCCGGTTGTTCCTCCGACGATCAAGTCATTATTTTGATTTTGAGTGGGGGAAATCAAAGATAAATAGGTCGAGTGCGGGTTGCTTGTAGGGTCGATCGAGTGATGTGGCTAACAAGTACTACTTTTTGACTGGGCTATGCAAGTTGTCGGCTGACACAGTTCGATCCAGTTGTTCCTCTCCTGCATAAAGGCCCCAACCATTTTGATTTCGTTTGGCCAATATTTTGGCTCCTTTCCGGAGGCATTAAGATTGTGTGTATTTAGAATTTGTTTTGTTCGGGAGGATGGGGGTTGGAGGAATTCTGTGGCTAGATCTTCAGTGTGGACTTTTGCTAAGGAATAGAATAGCACTCTAGAAACTGTTGTGATACAACAATGTTACGTCACAGACTAAGCTTTGGGTGTAATTGCCTAATGATGGATATTGTTGATGGGCACTGACATTTAGCATATAGGGTATGTAATAATGCTGATAAACTATTTTCGCATACTTGTTTGGGCTAGGATTTTGGTACAAATTCATAGGAGGGCCGCGTCAAGTTGAAAACCATGTTTATCTCCTTAACTATTAGTTGTCCCCATTTCTGTTTTCCTTATACACCACACATATAATATTGCCATTTATTTGTTCATTTCATTTGATCGATTTTGCTTTTTATCCTAGTTTTCATTACACACACACACAGCATTTTGATGATAGTAGTTGGAATAGTTTTTGTTGATGTCAGTTTATCAAACCGGGGGTTTATGCCTGAGTTATAAGAGTGTTTAGAGGCCCAAACTCCTTTAGATGATTGGTTCCAGAGCCCACTGTTCTTCTCAACACATAAAAACTCGTAAGAGGGCGGAGTGGGGTTCTCCGGTTGTTCCTCCGACGATCAAGTCATTATTTTGATTATGAGTGGAAAAATCAAAGACAAGTACGTCGAGTGCGAGTTGCTAATAGGGTCGATCGGGTGAGGTGGCTGATAAGTACTGCATTTTGACTGGGCTATGTAAGTTGTCGGCTGACGCAGTAGGCCGTAGAAGTAGTGTGAGTCGTTCCGGCCTCAATTCGTCTGATTAGGTGAGGGGTGAGACACGTGTCGGCTTCTCTAGGGAGATTAGCACTTGATGATTTTCTAGGCTATAGCAATTTTGATCTATTGTAATTCATAATCTTCCGATTTCTAAAGAATAATTCAAGAATTTCTGGTAGAGAGACATAAGTAACCAAATTTTTTTGTTATTATGAAAGTAGCTGATCATACCTACTGGGGGCTACACAGTTGGTTGAGTGGGTAAAGTGCCCTCTGGTCAATGGGGGTTCAAATCCCCTCCTATTCCCATGGAGTTGTGCTGGGAATAAGGTGGGACTCAACTCACAGTGGTTTTCGAGATGGGTCCCTCTCAGGTGAGGGTGTCCCAATTGGTTCGAGGTGAAAATGCCTCTTGATACCCCCTGAGTGTGCCCAAGCTCAAACTCAGACCTCCGCTCTTGATATGAGCTCCTTTGACCAAGGCTTCCTCTTGTTCAAAAAGATAAAATAAAAGAACAAAGTAGCTGATCATTACAAATTTACAATAATGAGAAACATCTTTATATGGTAGTCTAACATTTGCTGGAATAGGGGCTAAATTCCCAAGTATAATGGGAATTCAACTGCCAAAGAAAAGACTAAACATAACGGGAAGCTGAACTGATAAATAGTAAATAAACCTATCTTCAATTACGACAAGAAACACAAAAGCATATAAAATTTACGTGATATCAGATCAAGTTCTTATCCAAGATTCTTCAAAACCTTCTACTGTTTTTTATTTAAATCCAGTAAAAAATATCTTAAAGATGAAAATTGGGTCTTGACTCCTGACTATATCACATCCAGGGGTTTGATGCATCAGTCTCTGTCTAGCATCACATTCGAAATAGACCTCTTTGTTTTTTCCCCTCTTTTTCCTTCTGTAATTTAATGGCCCCAATTCATAAAAAGTCAATACTGTTACCATCAAAGCCTCTTGAATTATAGTCGGTCAGTGTCAAAAAGTTTCCTATAATTTGACGTTTATTTCGCATATTTTGTGGACAGGTGGACATGGATACAGATGATGCAGCTGGTGATGAAGAAGCAGATAAGCCCCAGCAAAGTGAAGATATGAGGAATAAAGAACCCTCACCATTGAATCACACACTTGATGGTAACATGCGATTATGCATTGGTTTGCATTTTATGATTTTGTTTTCTCATGTAATGCACGTCCATTGACTTTCACCTTCAGCATTAGCTTTGTGTTCTTATCACCTTGTTGCCATCAACCCTGTGAGTTTCCCCCATTTTTTGTGACCCTACAACCCTGGGAAGAAGGGATAGAGTTATAAAACTAAACATTCTGGGTTTATGAAAACTTAATCCTACTTTGTCAAGTAATTTCTGTGTCAAAAGGAGCTTGGACAAATTTGTCCATTTTGCATGGGCTCATATTGGAGTCAATAGTGGTGTTTCCTGTCCAACATGCCTTCTAGAATCACTAGCTCTACTTGAAACTGCCTTGCTGGGATTTTAAGGGGCAATATCAAGTTGTTATTCAGTTGAATTTGCATTCTTTCTGTAAAGCTATACACAATTATATAGGATTGAGCTATATTCTTCTATGAAATTCTGGTTGTGTAATCTGTCAAATTCATAGCACCTAAGGATTTTTGTCCTAGTGCCTCCTTTGTTATCACATATGTTTATATTTTTCCCCATTGGCTAAGAAAAGCTGAGCTATTGGAGCTCTTTGAAACCCTGTGTTATCTGTTTGAATACTTATAAAACAATCATTATTATTTCATACATTCTGTTAGTGCATGGTGGATTGTTTGGATCATAGTTACTGAATGTTCTATACATCCGTGTGGTACTTGTTTCAAGAAAACTGGTTTCTGATATAAAACCATACCATTTCTCAAAATTATGGGAAACATTAATGATACTTGCAAACTACCATTTTTATACTTGTTTTGGCACTTCCCTAACATTTATTATTTTTATTGCTTGAAAAACTAAAAGAACATTTAGTAGTTAGGGGAACTTTTTTTTGATGAAAAATATGCATACACGAAAACTATTGTAAATGCACAGATTAATCTGAAATATAGAAATCCTAAAAATACTTTTTTGAATGGAGAGCATGACCTGAAAATATGTATAGAAAATAATGTGCACGAGGTGACAGCTCATTTTAATGAATGGGCCCAAGAGATAGAGACTAGTTGTGAGATCCACCCCAGTAGTCGCATTGGAGTTGGTGAACCTCATCACTCCTTTCTCTTGATACTTGATAGCTCATTTGGTGAATGAACACCATCCCATACCCATTATTTCTATTTCCTACACGCACGTGCACACGTGTGCACACACACACGCCTGGCCTTGTGGTTCCCTAGGGACAAACTTCGAGTTTTCGCTCCCACCTACCAAACTATATAGTTAACTACTGTGATAAATGATTCAAACCATTCATCTTGATTTTCACATCTTAGAATTTATTTGGATAAAGATTATGCCAGGCAGATCTCTAATTTAGTCATGTAAGGGTTGTAAAATGAGCGATTGTTTAATATAGAATGAGACGAACCATTTGTTGGGATGCCATAGAATGTTTAAAATGCATAAACTATAATATGATAAACAAGGAGTTGACCTACCATCATGATGATCCATCACAAAACTTGGTATGTGTTAACAAACATGAAGTTTATTCTTACTTCTTAGCGAACTATATATCTCTATCCTACTTAGAACTACCTTTAATTAATATTTACATTAGATAAATGTTCTATAATTTTAAAGTTACACAGATGATTCTTCTTTATAATACTTCAATTTTCGAAGAAACAATATTTTCAAGTTATTGTTTGTAATTTAAATTTAATGTAAATGAAATTGAATGTATTATACATTCATATAAGTATATGCATATGAATACAACACACACAAACGTGCACTCACACACACTCGCCACATTTCTGTGGGACTGCATATTTCACTTCTGTGTCATGTAAGTACTCCTGTTGATCTGCTGTCCTGTACTGGTAATTATGGTCTGATAGGCTGTGCCCTCTTAGAAACCAATAAGGACATGTACCTCTTACCATTATTTGCTTTATTACTCGTCCCTTGACATACAGGTACAAAATACCAATTATTTCAGAGAGATGGAATTCTGATGAAGAAGAAGAGGAGTTGACACATGTGAAGGATTTGGGAAGTAGTAAATGGTCAAAGGATGTGGATGAGGATATCGATGAATCTGATGGTGCTGGAAGAAATCTGAATGCTCTGTCAGGTCTGGTTCAAGCCTATGGCAAGAGTGAAAAGTCTGTCCATTGGGGTGATCAGGTACTCTCATAAATTATGCATCTTTTCATTAAATTCCTCTTGGGACTCAAAAGCAGAGGGGAAAAAAGAAGTTAAGAAAAAGGGGTGAGAAGACCAAGCTTTGTATGAACCTTTCATCAAACAAACCATGTTTCACACTCATTTTCTAAAGGGGAAAGAAAAACTCAATAATATAAAAAGGGGATACCTACAATCTATAGCAAGGGGTTTCACACTCATTTTTTACTGTAGTAGGCATCCTGCTGACATGCATTTTAGTATTAACTTTTGATAATTTTTCTTAAGCTTGTCTACATTGCTTTTCAGGTTGAAAAGAGTGGATTTTCTATAGGTGCTGTCAAGAAGCAGAGAAGATCATCATTAATTATTGGTCCTGGATCAGGCTATAATTTGGTTTGTAGTTCTCTGAAATTTAACATCATCTCAATTTTTTTAACTTGCCCTTCGAAGATTGAATGATCCTTGGAAATCATTTATTCCAGTCTCACCAGCCATGTTTAAAAGTTTAATAAGAGTGTCCATACACTTAAGACATGATCTTAACTATGTTCCATCCTTACGTTCAGATACCATCGACTATGATTTTGATTTTCCGAAATCATCAAATTAACCTATCATTAGTAAGATTCTAGTATGCTTTTCATCTAATTATATAGCCATCCTGATGCAATGGTCTGAGTTAAACCGTCATATTCACAACACAATTTAACATGTTCAGTTTAGAGGCACTGCCTTTACTTATACTCATTCTTGTATTTTGCGGATTGTTAGGCTAAAAGGCATCCACTAGTAACTTCTATTTGAAAATGGACATTGTTTAAACTTACTGGTTTTTTGATATTACTATATAAACGTTGGACAAGGGCTTCAATATTTCCTTCGAAATGATCAATTTTAGCTATTTCTCATGTTTTTATTTCATTTTGTAAAAACAGGTACAAAAGTTCTCATCGTTGTTTTGCAACTAGATGATGCTTTATAATGCCTGTGCATATTGCACCAAATCTTAACCTACACATGTGGAACTAACTGTGATTCTGCATGTGTAGGCTGGAAGATGCCATGTATAGCAGATCATGTATTTGACTACTGCATATTTGACTACTGCTTTTGTTGTTAATTTTTACCTACAGTCTTTTCTTCCTTAAATTTGAGTGCGGCTAGTGGGGTCTTAAAAAATATTTAGGCCCAACAAGAGATTTTATGTGTTTTAGAGTGGTCAGGTACTTAATGTTTGTAGTATTTTTATGCTTATTCTTTTAGACATATCATGTATTTAATGGGCTAATTTATCTTAGGGTACATGGGTAATTGTTGTACCGTGAAAATTTACCTTCCCATTCTGTGCATGATTGCCAATAGTAGGAAAACCATCTTCCCTTCAGTTACTTCAAATTAACTCAAAACGAATACCTTACCATGCTATGCATCATTCCAATAAGTAGAAAAAAAACATTTTCTATAGGTACTTTGATTTGATGCATCGTTCGTCATCAATTACAGCTTTTATTATGAAAACGAGTGAGGCTGTTCATGCATGAGTACCCAGGGAAACGAATAACTGCTGTCAGTGTAATATCAATCCTCTGAGTTGACTTACTAATAAAATCTCTAGTTTTCCTCATGTTTATTAGACTGTGTGATCAGTCTGTGTGAGAACACAGGTGATATAAATGGAGGAGATCCTTAGACGACTCACACTGCATCATAGGTGGGTATCCAGTGGTCGCAGGCTATTGCATGAATAGTGCATCAGAGGGTTGCCGTTCGTCGATGAGTGCACAAATCCTAGGTCGATATTTGTTTGGTGCGCTATAAATACAATAAAATGGACCGTGGCCACTGGATACTTCCAAGAGTGTAATGTGGATAAACTTGTTCCATCATCTGAGTTCTGTTTTGACTGTCATGCTTCAAAGAATCCCAGTAATGGGAAATAATATGTTATTTTGTAAGCCCCCAAAAATTGTATATTTGGATGGCTTTCTAGTTCAATTATATGGATTTCCCGCATTTTGTATTTATCATCCTTTTGTGTGGTGGGCGGATGTATTACACGCTGATGGAGAATTTTGTACTTGTAGGGTTCCAACCCTCTACAAGAAGATGACGTTGCTTTGCAATCAAGTGGAAAGAGCAATGTCAACGAGTCAAAGAGGAGGTTTACTGAGCAACTTAGAGCTGAGCGCGAGTCTTTCAAGGCAGTGTTTGATCGGAGAAAGCAGCGCATTGGGGGACTGCGGGATGTAGAAGATGAATAGCCTAGTTTTGGACTTTATCATTGCTTATTTACCCCCAGTATGTTGTCAATCCCCTTTAATTTGTGGGAGGAGAGAAAGAGCTCTACCATGTTTCTTGCTGATCATGTATGAACGGATATGTTCTTGTCTATGAAGATCCTGTATTTATTTTTATCTGATCATGCATTAATGACAATTGTTATCCTTTTTCCTTGTCTATCTATGGAGAAGGATTGTCTTGAGCGATTGAGAATGAACATCTTGTTTTATACTTTGAAATTCGTGGTTGATACCTGAGATGTTATTATGTTTATTTGTGGGGAAAAAATGGGAATAAGCTGACAGCCAGTTTGAGAAAATGGGAGAAAATGCATACGCCCTTATTTGTATGTGTGAAAGATCGATCTAGCGTACATCACGATTAACCAAGTTTGAACTTTAATATCTAGTTCAATAATTATATATGTTTTCTAGTTTCAATCTTCTTTTTTATTCACTTCTTTTTATTTTATTTTATTTTTGAATAGAAGTCTTTTGTGAGTCTAGGCTTACCACAACGTAACTCCACTGGTTTACAGTGAAGATAGGCTTTTAACAATTTCTTTCACGGCTACAAATCCAGTCAGAACAGCAAGTGTGAAAGAACATATAGACTCAAATCAAAATGATAAAAAAAGAAAAAAAAAAGGAACCAAAACGATAAAAGGAACAAAAGAATAAATAAAAATAAATATCACGAGTAGAAGGGAAAGTAAATGTGAAAATAGGCATGGAAAAGGTCAGAAAAATAAACTCTATAATATATATCATATAAAGTAAAAAGAAATTTGGCGGCAATCTGAGCTGGCGCGTAACACAACCGCCTCTTTCCTTCTCTCGATGTATAAAATGCCGAGTCCCAAATCGAGAGGAGTGAGAGAGCAAGTTACTCAAAAACTTACGGGAGCCAAAGGCGAGAAATCTTTAGAGATATCCCACTCCCTCTTCTTCTTCTTGAAATCGAAGAGTGGGCGGGGAGCCATGAGCGACGGCCACCTCTTCAATAACATTCTCCTCGGCGGCCGCGGAGGGACTGTAAGCCTCTCTCCCCCTCTATTTTTGCTTGCTCCTTCTAGGGTTTTATGCGCGGCCTTCATCATCTAGGGTTTTGGCGGAAAGTGAGGATTGTGAAGCGCTGTCCTTTTGGAAGTTGCTGGTATCCTCACCGAATTAGGGTTTTCTTCTCCGTTGGTCATTTTCATATAGGGTTTTTGGGGTTTCGCCTAGCTAGAGTTTCTATCGATTTGGGGGAACTTCGAGTCCTGCGAAGTGGATAAGGGTTTTCTTTTGGAAGTTGCTGATTCCTTCACCAACTTAGGGTTTTGTTCTATTTCCTACAAATTACAAAGTGACGTTCTTTAAATTAACTGGTTAGTTGGGGACAGTTTGATGATTTTGAAGCTTTTGCGAGGGTTCTTTTCCTGTTCACTTAAATAAAAACATTTTGCAGATATTTAGAATAAAAAGACGGAATTTTCTGACCTGAGTTAAGTGTTCAAAGTTGGAATTGAGACCATTTTGAAGTTCTATTACGTATGGTTGCCGATTTCTTCCCCCAAACTAGGGTTTTTTCCCGTCCCTTTTTCTCATAATGACTTTCTTCTTGTACGTTTTTTTTGTTTATTTTTTTATTTGGCCTGATTAATTTGTAATCGGGGGCAATTTGGGCGAGTAGGCTTGTGTTTGGGTTTTTTTTGTTGAAAAGAGTAAGGTCGAAGACATTTATTCTGTTTTAGCACAGGAAGACTTGTTTTCATCAAATATCTCTTATGTATTCATGTTGTTAAAGCCCTCTGGGGATGAGAAAACAAACCTTATAATATGATTGCTGTTCTAAGTGCTTGGTGCTTTTTCTTTGTGCAGAACCCTGGGCAGTTGAGAATACATTCAGGAGGTATCGCATGGAAAAAGCAAGGAGGTGGAAAGGTTATTGAGGTTGAAAAACGTGATATATTGGGCATGACTTGGACAAAAGTACCTAGAACATATCAACTTGGGGTGAGGAATAAAGATGGATTGTTTTACAAGTTCACAGGCTTCAGAGAGCAGGTAGCCTTCTGTCTTTGACTCTTTGCTTTCAATTATATGTAATTACCAGGATTCGGATCCTCTCCAATTAGGTGGTAATTGGAGAAAGTCCAATTCTCTCAATCCTTACCGTCTATATTAAATTCAGTAGACGAGATCACGCCACATAAGATTTTCATTGTTTTCTTGAAAACCACTATGGTCTCGAAAACCACTTGCGAACTTGAAAACCAATGTATTCAAAACCACTACTTGTAATAATCAAAATCTCAGATGGTGCGATCTCATCCATTGAAAGTGATATAGATGGTATGGATGGAGAGAATTGGACCTAGATGGTATGGATGGAGAGAATTGGACCCTCTCCGATTACCCTAATTGGAGAGGATCTCAATCTGTAATTACCAATATGTGACAATGGGATGCCTCTATCTTTAGCCCGTAGCATGCACCTATGATTAAATTTAAATAATGAAATATTTGCTAGTTATCGCAGGTTAAAATTTACATCTGCACTGTGTCTTGTCACTTCATGTGTCTTTTATTTTGAGAATTAAGTAGGGTTTTTTTTTTTTTTTTTTTTGCTTGCTCCTTCTAGGGTTTTATGCGCGGCCTTCATCATCTAGGGTTTTGGCGGAAAGTGAGGATTGTGAAGCGCTGTCCTTTTGGAAGTTGCTGGTATCCTCACCGAATTAGGGTTTTCTTCTCCGTTGGTCATTTTCATATAGGGTTTTTGGGGTTTCGCCTAGCTAGAGTTTCTATCGATTTGGGGGAACTTCGAGTCCTGCGAAGTGGATAAGGGTTTTCTTTTGGAAGTTGCTGATTCCTTCACCAACTTAGGGTTTTGTTCTATTTCCTACAAATTACAAAGTGACGTTCTTTAAATTAACTGGTTAGTTGGGGACAGTTTGATGATTTTGAAGCTTTTGCGAGGGTTCTTTTCCTGTTCACTTAAATAAAAACATTTTGCAGATATTTAGAATAAAAAGACGGAATTTTCTGACCTGAGTTAAGTGTTCAAAGTTGGAATTGAGACCATTTTGAAGTTCTATTACGTATGGTTGCCGATTTCTTCCCCCAAACTAGGGTTTTTTCCCGTCCCTTTTTCTCATAATGACTTTCTTCTTGTACGTTTTTTTTGTTTATTTTTTTATTTGGCCTGATTAATTTGTAATCGGGGGCAATTTGGGCGAGTAGGCTTGTGTTTGGGTTTTTTTTGTTGAAAAGAGTAAGGTCGAAGACATTTATTCTGTTTTAGCACAGGAAGACTTGTTTTCATCAAATATCTCTTATGTATTCATGTTGTTAAAGCCCTCTGGGGATGAGAAAACAAACCTTATAATATGATTGCTGTTCTAAGTGCTTGGTGCTTTTTCTTTGTGCAGAACCCTGGGCAGTTGAGAATACATTCAGGAGGTATCGCATGGAAAAAGCAAGGAGGTGGAAAGGTTATTGAGGTTGAAAAACGTGATATATTGGGCATGACTTGGACAAAAGTACCTAGAACATATCAACTTGGGGTGAGGAATAAAGATGGATTGTTTTACAAGTTCACAGGCTTCAGAGAGCAGGTAGCCTTCTGTCTTTGACTCTTTGCTTTCAATTATATGTAATTACCAGGATTCGGATCCTCTCCAATTAGGTGGTAATTGGAGAAAGTCCAATTCTCTCAATCCTTACCGTCTATATTAAATTCAGTAGACGAGATCACGCCACATAAGATTTTCATTGTTTTCTTGAAAACCACTATGGTCTCGAAAACCACTTGCGAACTTGAAAACCAATGTATTCAAAACCACTACTTGTAATAATCAAAATCTCAGATGGTGCGATCTCATCCATTGAAAGTGATATAGATGGTATGGATGGAGAGAATTGGACCTAGATGGTATGGATGGAGAGAATTGGACCCTCTCCGATTACCCTAATTGGAGAGGATCTCAATCTGTAATTACCAATATGTGACAATGGGATGCCTCTATCTTTAGCCCGTAGCATGCACCTATGATTAAATTTAAATAATGAAATATTTGCTAGTTATCGCAGGTTAAAATTTACATCTGCACTGTGTCTTGTCACTTCATGTGTCTTTTATTTTGAGAATTAAGTTTTCTTTAAATTGTCTGACTTTCTGAGATTTGGTTGGCCAAAAAATTTAGAGCATGAGAGTTTATGAACTAGAAAGTATTTTGTTGAAGATATAGCTGGCCAAATTTTTGTTGGACAATTTTGTCATCTTGCTGTTCTTTTTAGTTGACTTAATTTCTCGACTAAGAACAGATTATTGACACTAGTTGTTTAAATCATGAAAGTGTTGATATACCCTGCCTTATGGAGGTGTTATGCTTGTCATTTTAGTGCAAAGATAATTTGACAGAAGCCCATTCAGAATATCCTAAATGGTTTGATTTTATGGTTTTTGTTTACCTTAAAATAAATTCTTGAAGTAAACTTTGAAGAAGACTAGTCCTTCATAGGCATTTTTTTTGAAGTAAACTTTGAAGAAGACGATTCCTTCATTGGCATATTTTTTTAGTGTAGAAGAACTAACTTGACACTTGCCTAGAATTATTTTTGTGGATTTAAGCAGACATTTGGACACCTGTGTAAGACCATTAAACTTGATTTGCATCTTAGATCACTATTATTCACTTTCTGACTTTGGTAATGCTTCAATTATGAGGAGATAAACACAAAGGGGAAATGTCCCTTGACACCTTTTCCACTATAGTTTCTCTCTTAATGAAGTTGTTCTTAAGTTTCTGAATAGATAGATCTGATTTTACTCATTATTAAAGCCTTTTATTGAACACATAGCAGGAGCTTCGTGCACCAGGCTGCCCCTTTCTATTTGAAAATCTGTCTATGCAATTGAAGTCAGACAGCATTTAGCCTTCGCAGATGTTCCTGCTCTCTGTGCCTGTGAATGTGAAAAAGATATATGTAATGAACTCACATCTATTTTACTTTGTTATTCACAAAAAGCATCTGGCATCAGCTTGGTGTGATCTGTACTAATACAATATTAGCTATCTGTTCTTGTCAATGACATTCTTTCTTTAGATTCTTAATGTTTTGACAGTTATGACAGCAGCTACACACTTGAATTTATAGCCATACAAGTTATCTATCTCACAAACCCAGATGCTAGGAGATGCAACTTATGAGCATGACAAAGGCTTGCATTTTATTTTACTGTTTTCTTTATTCATTTCATTCAGTTACATATCTATTTATATATCTTATTGATTTTTAACTTCCACAGAGTTTAGGTATGTCATAATAGTCATTGAAGTGTAATGAATGTAACTGTAGATTACATGGGTTTGTTTCTTCTCATGTAGGATGTCAGTAACTTGACAAGTTTTATACAAAAATATATTGGAGTAATGCCAGAAGAGAAGCAGCTTTCGGTCAGTGGTCGTAACTGGGGCGAAGTTGATATAGATGGTTGGTCAATGTCATTCTTTATTCGTTTAATTTAAACATACTCATGCTCTTGAGCTAAGGGAATGATATCTTGCATGTAGATGTTTATCCTTCTCTTACAATAGCTAAATTATAATCATCCGAGCACTTTTTGAACTGTGCATAGTTTTTCTAATATTGTCAATCCACCTCTGCTTTGTTGCATACCACCTGTATAAATTGATGTGTGGTCATTAATCATTATCAGTGGAGCGAAGTGTAGAAACCGCAGCTTATGGAACAAAAGAGTGGAGTATTCTTCTAGTTCAGGATTAAACTTTAATTCTATCATAAAAGTTAATATTTAAATTGTGGTATTTTATTCTTCGTATATAATGTAATCAAGAGATGATGCACGATCACATTTTGTTGTAAACAAATTAAATATTATGGCATACATGTGTTTTTTGGTACCCATGTGGTGTAGGATTTATTAAACAACAGAACACAGGGATTTACTTTGGATTCAGTTCATCATCATCTATTCTGTTTATAGTCTCGGAGGTTATGTTCCTTTTTGCTTTTTTTTGGGTTTCTTCTCATTCTTCTTTGGCACCTACGGTAGAGATCGGAGGTATTTGGCCCCCAAAAGGGATTGGGGTTTTAGATCCTCGGGAAATCCCTTTTCTTAATACCCCTATTCTCCCTTCATCTAGGCACATGATCTTAATGATATTGAAGAATATCTATATCAACTATAAATTGGCTGTTATATCAGTGCCTGACCTGATGTGTTCCATCCACGTGAACCAATTGTTTGAACCCTGAGAAGTTAGTCCTTGTCTACTTACTAAAAGAACATTCATGAGAGTTGTTTTCTCATTTTTTTATTGCAGTTTAGTATTAGTACTTCTTCATTACATTTCTTAATAAGATTTTCAACGAGTCAGACAAATATATACTTACCTGTGTTCTAGACATATTGGTTTCCAGCAGAAGGCAGATAGATAGTTGGACTTAATAGAAGGGGCAAACCTTAGGATTTGAACCTTTCAAATAATAATTATCATATACGTTGATGGATAAGAGCATTTCTAACTTTACCAAGCCTAGAGTCACAGGATATAAGATGGTATTATAGAAAGCGATGTTTACGGTTTATCAACTTCATTGATAGATTACAGAGCTCATTAACTTAACCCTGTATTTTTTGGTTGGCTGTTGTTACCATCAACTACTTTGCATATTTACTTCGAACTGTACTGACCATAGCTTTTATTGGTGCTTTGCGCTGCAGGAAATATGCTCACATTTTTGGTAGGCTCAAAGCAAGCCTTTGAGGTTTCTCTAGCAGATGTTTCACAAGCACAATTGCAAGGCAAAACTGATGTTTACTTGGAGTTCCATGTGGATGACACTACTGGAGCTAATGAGGTAATTCATGCCTACATTTCCAACAGTCTAGGTTTTTTTCTTTATTATTTTGAAGGGTTTGAATCCAATATCACATAGATAAAATAGATATCCTGGATAACGCCCTTGTTCACCTTCTTTGTGTTTTCTTTTGTATGTTGGCGTGCGGGGTTCAATTGCTTTGCTTGAACCTCAACATGGAGTACTTATACCTTGTTCCCATTCTGATGTGAAAAAGGCTTAGACTATTATAATGACACATAGGAGAACCGGGTTTCCTTATGCAATCCATCTTTGATTATAAGGTTATGGACAGGAACAATATCTATAGGGTTGATTACACTTGTATCGTGAATTTTACTTTTCTCCTTGCATTGGCCGATAGAATTCTGAGTAGCATGACGCCATCCAGTTGAAATTATTGCAAATGTTGTATAAGCTCAACTTCCATTTGAGTATAATGTATTTGACAACTTTCTATATTTGAAGTGAATAAACCATTAGCATAGTTTTTTCTTTTCTTTTCTCTTTTTTTGTTTTATTCTCTCTTTAATTTTGCTCATTTAACTCAAGAATGGGAAAGGAATCTAATATATGTTTTATAGTCCAAATTGAGTTATGGGAATGATGTTACCACTTCCTTGCTAAGTTGCATGGATACGGGTACGGATGCGCGTGCAGGTACGGTTATGGATACATGACACGGCAAATTCGTTAAAGGTAGGTAAGGGGACGCAATTGAAACTCACAGGCTGAAATCTTACTTTTGAGGTAGATATGCAAAGGATGCTTTGATATTGTACGGTTTAAGGTTGAAACAAACTCGACCTTTGTCCAACAAGTTAAAAAAAAAGAAAAGGATGTGGACTGGAGGATATATGTCCAAGTAAGTGTATGACTGAGTGTTTTAAATTAAAACATGTAGCGTATAATTGAGTACATGTTTGAAATCTGGATAGATGTATTATTTTTAAGGAGCGTCCATGAAGTGTTGGGTACAGGTACAACACATGTCGGGTAAGGGTATGGCTTCATGATCGAAGTCCCCAGTTACTATAGCTTCCTTCTTAAATGAATTCTCATTATTAGAAATAATACTTCATGTTTCTAGATAGTTTCTATATTGTTAAAAGCAGTCAACAAAGTCGTGTGCGTATCATTAGGATTTTTCAACAAGGCTCTTTTGTTTAGACGAATTTGAAAGGTTGATCCTCAGTTTAATGAGATAAACTGTTGAGTGGTCATGTAAGGCATATCAACCAACCAAGAGGCTTTACAGGCTTACTGATGTTACCATGAATACAATTTTTGTACTTGTGTAGTTGGCTGTTCTGAAAATGGGCCACTTCCTTTTCCACTGCCTGGAAATTTTCTCGACTTGCAGTCATGCTCCATATTTTTATAGTAGATCCATTTTGGTACAGGAAGACATTGACGTTGTTGATAATGATGATGTTTCTCGTCTTCCTACTCCTACATGCTTTCAACTTTCTTGAAACTATTCACACTCGATTTCGAATTTATCTGACATAATCTTATTTTCTATCCTCTTTCTTTTCTGATTGGTTGTAGAAAGATTCACTGATGGATTTGAGCTTCCATGTTCCTAACTCTAACACTCAGTTTTTGGGTGATGAAAATCATCCTCCAGCTCAAGTAAGTACTCTTTTCATACTGGATAGCCAACTATTGGAGCATAGGTTAGTGCTAGAATGAATTGTCCCTTCTTTCTGTAGGTTATGCTAGAAAAAATTATGGCTATGGCCGATGTTGGTGCTTCTGGTGAAGGTGCTGTTGTAACATTTGATGGAATCGCAGTTCTTACACCTAGGTAGATAAATGTATTCTTGAAAATTTTTATGTTCCTCACGTGCATGAACACATCAAACGACAACTAACAAGTGTGATTTTGTTTATGTAGAGGAAGGTACAGTGTTGAACTTCATTTTTCATTCTTTCGGCTCCAAGGACAGGCAACTGATTTTAAAATCCAGTACAGCAGTATTGTCCGACTTTTTGTGCTGCCAAAGGTTCTGCTTCTACTCAAAAAGAAAACATGTATATTTAATTTGTTATTTCTTAGTTATACAATGAGTTGTGCCATTTAACATTTTTTTGCATCTTTTGTAGTCAAATCAACCCCATACGCTTGTTGTTGTTACCCTTGACCCACCTATCCGCAAAGGGAACACACTATACCCACATATTGTCATTCAAGTACTGCTCTTTTCTGAGTTTGGTACTGATTCTTGCTATTATCCGATGTCTTTTTACCCCTGATGCAATCCTTTCTCCTCTTCTGCCTGGTTTAGTTTGAGACAGATACTGTAGTAGAAAGGGACTTGGAGATTAGTGAGGAGCTCTTGGCTACAAAATACAAGGATAGGTTGACTGCATCATACAAGGTGAACATCCAGTGTGTAACATGTTTATTTTTCTGCTCTTTCTGCTTTGAAAATTAAGCATTAGAACATTGTAAGTGTAGTCCATATTGGTTAGTACTCGAGCTTTTCCACATACTAGTAATGAAAAATGAAAAGTTCCATTTATTCTGAATCTGAATGTTCATAATGCAAACTCATTATGATCCAAAAGAATGTTTCTGTTCCATTTCTGTGCTGGGGCTTTGAATCATTCTAGTATACAACTCTCACAATAAAAGGTATACAGCTGAACTGCAAGATGTATAGGCTGTTTTCTAAAAAGTATTTTCCGCTAAACAAACAATTTGTTTATGAAGAACATTTTTAATGTTTCTTCGTCATGTATTTCGAATCAAATTGACCTTTTCCCCTAAGATCAATTGAATAACAAAATATAACTAGTTTTCTTTTCCTTGAGTGCTAAGGAATTCATTCTATCAGTTTGTAAATAATTTGTTAGATTTAGACCTGTAATATTATTTTTCTAAATGATACTCTACAGCCTTTCTTTGGATCCTCCAAGGGCTTTTGATGCAGGCTGTTAGAATTACACTTCAAATTTTTTTTTATCTTTTTATGAATTTTAAATTAAAATTAAAATTTCTGACTTCATAACTTGAAGCTAGATAGAGAATAATCGGATGTAATGCTAAAGGTCCATCTATGCTTTTATTTTGTCTTGTATAGCAGAAAACAGTAATTAATGTCATCCATGGAGATTCAACCCAATATCCTATTTATTTCGAATTTGTTAATGATTTTCTGTGCAGTCCTAATCTCAAGAATATTAGCACTATTTCTATGAAAATTTGTTGAGTCATCTGTTGGTCATCTGTCAAAAGTGCTATTGCTGCAAAATTCATTCTTGTGAGTGTAAACTTGAAGTTAAGTGGCATATAATGGGCTTTGAACTGGCTATTGTGTTAAATCTTTTTAGTTGATCTAGTTGCCTCTTCTATTTTTTGTTTGGATGGATTCTCCTGATAAAAATTCTGTAAGCCAGACAAATTGTCTAGAAAACCAGATATGATTTTTGTTTCATGAGGCTGATATACTTGAACAGATTTTCTTGAGTTTTTTTTCCATCCCACCCACACCTACATGCGTCACACAAGTGTTTTACTTTCTCAGTTACACAAATAGGCTTCTTTTCCAAGAATGCTACTTTTACATGAATGTAGCTTTACATGGATTTTGACTGTTATACACAGACAATTATTTACCATTTGCGTTAATCCCGATTTTTGTATAATCTCAGGATCTTATCCCTGAGGTCTTCAGTAAGATCTTGCGTGGTTTATGTGGTGCGAAAATTACAAGGCCAAGTACATTTCGAAGTTGTCAAGATGGATATGCAGTGAAATCCTCACTGAAGGCTGAAGATGGAGTGTTGTATCCACTTGAGAAGGCCTTCTTTTTCCTTCCTAAACCCCCAACACTTATTCCTTATGACGAGGTACTGGTGTTATTAACAATTAAAATTTGGCAACTTACCTTTTATGGCCACAAAATCTTATCAGACAGTTGTATAACCTGGTTTTATCTTCTGCAGATTATGTATGTAGAGTTCGAGAGGCACGGTGCTGGAGGCTCAAGTGTGTCATCTCACTATTTTGATCTCCTTGTAAAACTTAGAAGCGAGCAAGAACATCTATTTAGGAATATCCAGAGAAATGAATATCATAATCTTTTCGACTTCATGAGGTTTGTCTCGA